GACCAGCTGGCCTAGAGTCGTTACCTCCGATGATCTATTTCATTGAATGTAGTGCACTGCAAAGCCAACTGCGAGTGTGTTCTTTCATCAACTGTTCCCTCGAAGTGAGGTGGAGGGGGGAGAAGGGGGGAGGGAGGAGGGGGAAAGGATTGTATCATTCTCCACGAAAACTCACAAAACGGGAGGAAGATGTGAAGGTACGCACATACCCATACACTTGATGATGAATCAGCACTCCTAATGCTCCACTTTCCACCTCCTTCACCCACTATACAGGCGAATGAAGAGTGTTTTATGGCTTTCCACACGTGTTACTGTCATGCATATCATAAAAGCCATGTTTAAAAGTACCGAATTTGGCTATTTAAGATGACTTCCGTGACCAATTGCTCCAGAGATAGTTGAGGAGGGAATACAGATGTGCGTAGAGAAGTGTTGGATGACCGATCGCAGTGAAAATGCTTGTGTTTGCCTAGGCAGTTGCCTTCTCACCTCAGAGGTCATTAAGTGTTATTTGTCACCACGAGAAGCTTTATTCGCAAATGCGCTCTTTGTAGTACGTTTGTGAGGTGTCACCAGCCCTTTGTATTTTATTGTCACACAAATAGTTCCCCTACGTGCGAAATTGCGCCTCCAGAGATGATGGACGTCTGTGTTTGGACATTGGCCGAGCCGCACCGACTGGGGAATGTGAATTGGTCCTCCAACTTCCCAACGCCCGGGAGGCGAAGGCTGCTCACACACGATGCATCATGTAAGTTCTGTGCTCCATAATCGCTTTCCTCTTATGTTATCAAATTTCGATTGAGATAATACAGTTCTCGAGTCTCTCTCTGATAAGTTGTAAGCTCTCAGCATGGAGGAGCACAAGACGGTGTTATCGAGCTTGAGGGGTCGTTGAACTTGCTCCGCGTAACGATGCCATAGGGACCTCTCTAAAAGCAAAATAGGGTCGAATATCCATTTTAGATGCACTGGTGGATTAGGGGCAATGTTACTAAGTGAAGGAGGCGTAGTAGTCGTGACTTTTAAAGGGGTGCACAATCCTGCTCCTCTTTCAAGCGCTGTGTTTAGCGCCCCTCTTGGTAAATTTTGGTCAGCCATCACAAGGAAGACACTGACCCACCGCAGGATGAGGGAATGTGCGGTTATTCTATGTCACCATCGATTTAAACCATGTCTGTTGGGATAGCGGTTAGCTTCCGCTCCACTTCAAATGCCGTCAAGGCCGTGGTTCCATTCCATATTCCTTCGTTGATGCCCTCCTACAGACACTCCCGACAAGCGAACTTTTCAAGATGGCTCACAGTTGGTGTTGTTTCAGTTGTTGAAGACAGACGCCGGTTATTACTAGACCACCTCCGTCCACAACGCTTTTTACTTAATATTAAGGATTCTTGTTCACCTTAATTGGGTTTGCCATCCACTGCCACAGCATCTATACAGAGAGGAGGTGTTGCGAGTCTGAATGGAAGGAGTAAGAATGTTTGGACGCCTAGGTAGCAACCAATCAGAGGTGGCTGGTCAACATTTGGAACCATTTTCTGGGTTCCGAGGGCCGACACCAAATCAATACGTCCTTTCGCACACGCAAATATACGGAACTGCAGGAAATGGTTTAGTTTAACATGCATTCCAAAGCGGAGCATTAAATTTCAACACAACAGCAGCCACCCACAGGTCAAGCTTTTGCCCGTGCGGGTACATGTGCACACACGCGTTTTATTGGGCTACACTCACAGCCTTTATTTGCTTTACACAGATCTGCGTTTCTGTGTGTTGCAGATTTTGTTTCCCCCTCCTCCTCCTCCTCCTCCTCCTCCTCAAACAATTCCTTCGGTTTGCCTTCAGTTACTGCAGTAGTTCGTCATAAACCGTTTATAAAACTGATTACTGGGACCTTGGGAGAGAGGAGGTCACTGGACGCGTCTTAAATAGGCCACCGAATATGGCTAACGCTCTGATCAATTCATTGGGTTTAATTAATCGTAGGTCGTGAAAGTCCTTCGTCTCGGATTCCCCTCCTTAAAACACAATCTACACTGCCTGGACGTGGACAAAAATGTGAGGTCTTAGGTAGTTGTGAAGGCGGAAGATGAAGCCACTCTCTCTTTATGTGTGCTTTGTGTAAAATGCTTTTCTCAGTATTTTGTGGCAACATACCTCCCTGAAAAATAGCTTCGAACCAAGTCTACCCAACAGCCTAAATGTAAACACCGACTGCTTTCCTATTTTTGTGACGCGCTAGACAACGCCAGTTGACCTTGAGCAACAAGGTCATGTAAACAAGCGCTAGTGGGTGAGTGAATGGCCGAACTCCTCACACCATGTTGCCGTCATTTAGGTTAATGCGACAGTGTCCCACCTGGCTGAAACTTGGACGCGATGGACCCAGCTCGCGTAGACGCACGTTGCCAAATTTTGGGTGAGTTGATTCTTAACCCACCGCCATGGTGGCAATTTAGTTTTTTTTTTAATACGAATCAACCTTCTGGTGGTACACAAGGTTGCTATCCGTTTCAGAGCTTGAAAGAGAGGTATGGAGTACTTCAAATGACACTGACTGCTAAATCCTCACCTCTCAACAGTTCTGAGGTTACATTCAAGTCAAAAATGAACGGACGCATTCCTGTTCTTTCCAGGAAATCGGAACTTCTCTTACAAAAACGCTCTTTAAGTTAAATTTATTTGCACACAACTCTTCTTCGGTGGCCAATTTTGGTTCATGGGATGCAGTCTGCCTTATGGTAGCACTGCTGCCACAGAAGGGTTCACTGGAAGGCGGAAAGGGAACATTCATCCTCTCAAAAATGACTGCCGATGCTGGAAATGAATGCACCGTACTACCGCTTCCAACGCATGGATTGACATTATTCACGCACTTAGACGACGGCTGAGTTGATAAGCGTCTCGTCAACATAAAATTGTGTGGTTGGAGGTCTCCATATGAGTCAGTATTCGCAGGTTTAACACCCTCGTTCACGTGAGGCTGCGTTCTCCATCTCACGGCATTCCATACACACACCCACCCACACTACCACCGCTGTGTGCCACCTTGATTGGCAATGTCTGAGAGTGGCCCACAGTGGCATCGTTGCAGGCTGTTGGTGCTGACTTAAGTACTGCATTGGATTAACAATTTTGAAAAGACTAAGAAAGGTTTCTCCCCTTTCCAACTTCCTCCTCCCGCCCCCATAGCCGAGTATGAAGCGACTGGTGGGGGGGAGGAGGTGGCGGGAAGAACGTGCAATTAATAGACTATAAGCGCAATACGTTACTAATTTTTGCGGCCTTTTAAATTGGGACAGTGAAGCCACTTGTAATTTTTAACTCATCATTGGTGACCTCAACTTGACCTTAGGTGGTTCATCGCATATGCCTAATGCCTTGCTATTAGTTAGCCTCTCATCCACGTTTTCCCAAATTAACACTCCTGTAGGAAAAAAGTCACTGGTGTTAACTTGGCGGGACCACCATTGCCTCGTGTACCCGCAGTGAATGAAAGCGCCACCGCTTCAACCGTTACTACGCCAACGGAGGATCAACAAACTCCTTCAGAGCAGCGTTTATCACCAACTCTTCTCCCCATTGTGCCTGAAACGTCGATCTCTCCCACACAGGAAATACCTACACCCCCACCTTTGTTGCCAACACCGCTGTTACCACTGCCCGACATCCTCTCGGTGACATTCTCCTCACATTCTGTGTCTCACCTGATAAGTCGACGGATTCATCATTGTTCCTCGCTCTCCCGCAAGAGTCACTCATTTCCCTCCCGTCTCTGCACTGAACCCATTCCTGAAGTCGTTGTCGTTGATGAGCGCGCTGGCGATATCACGGAAGCTGGCGTGTGAGTTCATTTTTCATACTCTTTCCAAACGATTTTATCCATTTGAAGGTGACTCAAATTCAATGTAGTCATTTTTTGGAAGTGACATATACTACTTAGTAGCGTAGACAGTAGACTACAGTAATGTACATTAAGCGTCGCTTTACGAACAGATTCGTCATTCAAATGCATTCCGCGGATAGAGTGAATTTCTCAGTCACCTTAAAGGTGTAAAATGACGTACTCACTTTCTCAGCCCTTCATCAAGAGATTTTAGGCACATCAGGCTAAGGAAGGTCAAATGATCATCCACTAGATGTACAATGTCGCGACAAACCGAGGAACTAAACGCTCGTCCAGACAAAGCCTTTGAGCTTTTCTGCGGATTCTCTCCTATTTAGACCCTAGGGAGAGTTGTAATGTGTAAAACTCATTCTAGTAGACGGGAATGTTGTTCAATTTGCTGGGACCTGCCATCTCTGACGCTACAGAAGCACACAATTAGCCTCACAAGGACGTCGTAGAACACCTCAATATAAAGAGAATTTATTTTCTGCACTATAAATGAGCTTGAAGGCTGTAAGTTAGGGCAAAAATCAAGCCACTACAATTATGAATGTAGTATCAATCGGGTCTTAAGAACAACCCTAATACTGTTGTATGGAGCTCTTTCATCCCGATTTCACTCCTTCTTGAATTGTATTCTGCCAAAGAAGTACTGTCTGTGTGAAGAGAAAGCAATTAACCTCCCAGTGTCCACAGCATTTAGCCTACCTGCAACAAATTAGCCTATTTAAATGCTTCCACCATTTTAAGGGGATCTCCGAATTCGGCTCCAAAAGAAGCACCGGAAGCGGACGAAAGCCCTCCAACACCGACTCACAACAACGCAGCTGATCCCACCAACCACTACCTTCAACTTAATGTCGGTCAGTAACGCAATCCATTGCGTGTAAAACCTCCTACTTAATTATTTAAGCAGCACCTATTAACCCGCTCTCCTTTGCAGACAACTTAATGGGAACGCATATCAAGAGTATTGCCAAGTACACCGTGTCGGATGCAGGAGGTGGTGTGGAAAGTGGTGGAGGCGGGGCAGGAAGTGCTGGAAGAGGGGACGAGAAGGGAATGTGCCTTAGAGACGAGATGCCATCGGAGGAAACAATTCATCACGTTCTGGCCTACCTCTCCAGCATAACGCGCCCCTCAAAGTCTGTTAATGTGGAGAACGAGCCTTCCCGACCCAGCACGACGTATAGGCAACCGACAGTCAAGTTCTCACCCAATCCTCTCATGATTCCTACTGATCGTACGTTAAGATTTTGTAGCTACACATTGTCCAAAATCATGGATACCTTACACAAGTTTAACTTCTCCAGACACTCAAGATGGATTCTATGTGGAACCACTGATAGTTGGCATCAATCGACTTACGACAAAGGTAGGCTCCCAGTCTTCCGATATTAGTAGAACCTCTTCCACAAAAAAGACCTCCAGTTCCAGCGGCGGTGTTCAGCTGCGTAGGCCAAAGCGATGTTTCACTGGCTACATCTCTCAAGGCAGCAGCAGCCTGGGTGTTTCCAGTGGTGGAAGCGGTGGCAGTGTTGGATCGAACAATCGCAGCCGTATCTGCTCGCACCGTGACAATGATGAACTCTTTGCGGATCTCACTTATGCTCCATCTGCCTCCTCACGTCACACCACCCTCTGGCAAATGTCGAAGGGGTCCACTTGCGAACGGTCATCAGTTTCCTTCGAGACGGGAACTATATCAATGCTGGAAGAGTCCTGTTGTGTTGATGAAGACGGAAAGAATCATAAGCGGCCCCGAACTTCTAGTGATGCAGGAACTAAGTGGAAAACCAGCATAACCGCCCCCATAAGGCTTTTGCCATCCAGCAGCCAGATTGCTGACGCCATATCTCGTCCAAGAGCACGTTCGTTGACTCAACAGCTCGCCACAAAACCACTTAGTCAACCCATTGGGGTGAAAGATCTAGAAGGACTGCCATCTGGTGAAGGCTACAACGGCTGTGTGCAATTGGGTTCACGTTCAAGTTCCACAACTTCAACATCCAAAAGTATTAGGCGAGCCCTGGAGCACGTCCTTGGAAGGCCTCGGTCAACAGAGGAAAGAGATGGTCTTGTAGCCAATACAGTCTCTCCGAGCCATCAGCTGCAGCAGAATAAAAGTCGTTTACAAGAATCCGAGATCTATGTTGAGATGGATTTTCCATTGGCGAACTCGTCTCATGCTGCCACCGAATTGCCACCAGAGGTGCGAAATACCCTAAGAGGTTCCCTTCTAATAACCCCGTCAGACTCCCTCTCTTCTAACTCTTCCTGCCTCTCCTTTTATGGTGGTGGCTGCGGCGGCGGCGGTATTGGTGGCGGTGGTGGTGGTGGTGGAAGGCAGCCAATGCCTCTGTCCCGCACCGCTCCCGGAGTGAGTTTCAGTGAGCACTACGGTTTTGTATTTAGTCAGGCGGTGGCCTCAACGATCTCAGCTTCGAGAACTCCCTTCCTCATAAAGCCACCGAACTCGAGCGCCACTACTAACGTTAACACTGCTGGCTGTGACATTCCTCCCCCCACCACGGCTCACTGAGATTCTAATCCGACCTGCATTCACTTCTCTCCTTCTGTGATAGTTCATACGTGTGTGTACATATTAATTCGACCAGTGTACATAGACTCAAGGGTTCAACTGGCGTCTGCTTTTAAAATGTGTTTTATCGAAAGCTATTTTGTGAAGGTCTGGTGGTGTACTATCCACAAACACTAACTCATCCACCCACCTCGTCCCTCCTTCCAATCATCCACCTGCCGTATCCCTCTCTTCTGTCCGGTGTGTCTGTGATGAAATGTTTTAATCTCCTCCTGTATCAAATTTTAACTTTGTACACACGTCCCCCTTCCACCCCACGTATCACCCTTCACTTTGGATCGTTGTGACAATTGGCTGCTCTTGGTAAGTCCTCCGTGTGAATAAATGATGAAAGCTGTGTAAGCACTTCAATTTGATATTCATGACATTAGCTGGTGGGGGGAGGAGGGAGGCAAGACTAACTCGGGTGGGGGAGGCGGCTCAAAATGACAGCACAGTGACAAGGAATGAGTGCAAGATGGAGATTAGAGCTTCAGTTTTTCATAACTGTGTGTGGGTATGTGACTCGAAAAGTGTGGCTACCGAACCAGGACGGAGGATCCAGATCAGAAGCTCATGTCCTGACAATATAATCGCTAAAGTGAGATCGTGACAGAGTCTCAAACCCTCCCTTCAGCAAGGGAGAGGTTGAGACAAACTGAAAACTTCCACAACCACATCATTTTTTGTCATGGAGTCAAAACGGGATCGTGGATTCGTGATGAGTGTGTTGTGGCTGTTTAACCCGCGGCGTCACTGAGTTGCAATTGTAAAATCGTGACTTCTACACTTTGCAAGCGGTTTATTTTGTGGTATGGAGTCTCAATGTTTGAAGTGTCAAATTGCCGACCTTTCATCACTTTAACCACTTGCACATATTTTTTGAAGTGGTGATGTCAAAGTATGGCGAAACGAGGGTGCTCACGTCAACCAACTCAGCGCTTGAGGCTAGCAATCATCAAACGCTGTATTTTTTATCACTGTTCTCATTCTCCTCCTTCTTCAAGTCTGCTAATGAATGATTGAATCAGCAAAAGGGAAAAAAAAGGCAAGAATCGAGGCGCCACCATCAGGATGCTTCCAGGTGGAAGTGCTAGACACTTCTTCCACCGTCCAGTGGGGAATGTGAACGTGTGCTTCGCTGGAGGCCTTCAAAACTTCGTACTGCCTCAACTCAAGCTGATCTGGTGAAGGTTACAACACCAGGATGGTTGAGCATTTCCATGCTTCCATCGTCTAGACGTTGATTGTTCATGCTTCTTCTCTCTCAAGGAAACTACTTCTTTCGCCTCATCCTACGTCAACTTTCCTGTCTGGCTTTATTACTTGTAAGGTCTCATTGTTACGGTGGAGAAGTAGGATAATGCGAAAGACACTCGAAGATACGTTATTTCTTTAATAACAAAAAAAGTACCGCTGCGAATAAAGCGAGTGAGTTGTTGTGCTACCTTAGGTGCACTTGATTCGCTGATGAAATTGCTTTTGCCATCACAAGTGTCGTCTTACCGCACGCATTTGCCTGCCTTTAAGTCTCATTGTCTGTAGAGCTCGAAATTACGAGTTCAAATAGGCAAGAGACTACTCATCTCAGCCCACAGATTGTTTGTGCACTTGAATGTAGGTGCATTGGAGGAATTATAAGGCGAAACTTATTCTCAGGGCGACAAATACACCACATCCTCTTCCATCCAAACGCCTTAGAGGCGGGAAGACGCGCGTGAAGGTCCACGAAAGGACCAAAGGCAGTGCCGGTCGAAGTGGAGCGAATCACCTCGCCACTAACAGTGTCAACAATGAACGAGAAGGTGTCTCTCTAATTATATTATGGAAATTTCCTCATTCCATTTTGACAGGTGTGACAGCATCATGTTGTCACAGTGTGATTAATTTCGAGAGCTTAACTTTTGAGTCCTTCATTCAACGAGGTCTCTAAGACACTCAACTACACCTCGTGCATCTTGGAAGTAAAGAAACACAAACGGTGACAATGAATAATGTAATGTAGTGTGGTTTACTAATAACCCAGGCGGGATTCGGACCTAGGCGTTGATGTTATGAAGGGAGTAGTAGGCGCCTCGAGCCTCCATAAGAGCTGCAGGGGAGCCACTCTCCACACAGCGTCCATTCTCCAGCACCACAATACAGTCACAGTTCTCAACAGTGGTGAGTCGATGTGCCACCACCAGAGTGGTGCGATCACCACGACGCATAGCTTCGTCCAATGCTGCCTGAACAACACGCTCACTCTCGTTGTCCAAAGCTGCTGTTGCCTCGTCCAACACCAGTAGTCGTGGATTGCGCACCAAAGCTCGTGCAATAGCGATTCGTTGCTTCTGTCCACCCGAGAGGCGGGAGCCTCGTGGCCCCACTGGTGTGTCGTAACCCTGGGTGAGAAGAGTGATTTAGATTAACCCCGATCCTACCGAACTGATACTCGTATTCCCGATTCAAGGAAGGGAACCCACCTGAGGCATATTCATGATGAAGTTGTGTGCATTCGCCTGTTTGGCCGCCTCTATAATCTGCTCCATGGAGGGTGGATTCGCCTCAAAAGTGAGGCCATAGGCGATATTCTCACCAATAGTGAGATCAAGAAGGTTCGGCTCCTGCGACACCACTCCAATTTGTCGACGAATCCACGTGGGTGCGAGATCGCGTATGTTCATGTTGTCCAAAAAGATGGCCCCACTCGTGGAGGCTGATCGCAGAGTTGGATCGTAGAAACGTTGCACCAATTGGAGCACTGTTGATTTACCGCATCCTGACTGACCTACTAGAGCCACGCTTGTTCCCGGTGTTACTGTGTAGGTGAAGCCCTTTGAGAGAAGTGGAGACAAAAGTGTCGGTAATTTTAATATTCACATTCATCCACCACAAAAAAACACGCAATTCAGGCAGTACCCGAAGAACTTTAACCTTCTTCCGTGTTGGATAGCGGAAGTGAACATTTGTGAAGGAGACATTGCCTTTGAATGGAACTACAGGAAATTCGCCTTCATCAGGCTGGAGGTTGGGTATCCGATTAATAATTCCAACAATGCGTTGACCGGACTCTTTCGCCTTCCGTGAGTCTGGTGCAAAGGCCGCCACATAACCCAGCTGTTGAGCGGCGAAACTTATTGCCGAATAAGCACTGTAGCAACAAAAAAAAGTCATGGTCAAAGTTTCAAAGGGGAGAAACAGGAGTGTACCGAAAGACGCCGACAAGAGTGACAGTTTTGGATTCCATCAGTTTGCCTCCCGCGTAGAACACACCGGCCACCTGGAAGCATCCAAGG